CCAATAAAAGCAAGTTATGTTAAGATTTCCCCACCGACAACTTCTGGGATGCGGAAGCTCTCATCCTTCTTTCTGTTGTAAAATATCACTGACTGCCTCTACCGCCCCACCCATCCCCAGGAATATATTGGGGGGCTCTCTCCTGCTAGACGTAGTCTGCAGCCGGGGAGCCAGGGCTGCGGTGTTGCGCGGTAAGGTAAGGGGGATTGTGAGTGAATTAATATTCGCAGAGGAGATTCGCCGCCCCACGGAAGCGGGGAGCAGCAAGCCCAAGTCCTCCCCAGCGCTCCCAAACGGCGGGGCGGTGAAGCAGCTGCCCCTGCCCCCGGCCGCCCGGAGACCGAGACCGCCGCCCAGATAACAATGGCGCCAGCGAGGGCGGGGCCGCGCGCGCCTGGGGGGAGGGAGGCGGTGGAATTGCTGGGACCACGTGACACAGCGCCCCGCCCCGCCCCGCGAGCAGCTCCTGCTGGGAGGGCTTTGAAGGGGGCGGGGGAGCGGCTGAGGCCGCCGGAGTGGCGGCGACCGGAACTGACGAAGGGGCGTAGTTCGCTACGTGCAGCGACGTGGCGGCGAGGCCGGCGCCGGGCGGCGGAAGTGGCTTCCGCGCTGGGACTGGAGTGTTTGTGTTTTGGTTCGAGAAGGAGCCCGCGGCCGGCCTGAGGGGAGGAGGCAGAGGAGGGAGGAGGAGGAAGAATTAGTGGGAACTCGCGCGGCGGTGGCGGTGGCGGCAGCGCCGGCGGCGGCGGCGGCGGAGGAGGAGGAGAAAGGGAAGAGGAAGGCGGAGCGGGGAGAGGCGGAGACCGAGCCCGACGGGGGCGGCACCACGGCGCGAGCCCCGCACCTTCCAGTCCGAGGGGAGAGGCGCCGCCGCCAAAGCCACAGCCATCTCGCCGGCTACGCCTGGGACCCGCTGCCAGGAAGCTTCAGCCCCGCGGCTCTGCGGTCTGCAGTCTAAGGTAACCAAACCGTCCCTCCCCCTGCCCGGGGCCGGGACCCCAGGTTATCCGCTGTCCCCGGGCTGTCGGCGGCCCTGCCGGCACTGAGGCCCCCGCCCCTTCTACCTCTCACGCGCCAGTGCCTTGGACCAGAGAGCTGTGGAACCCGGCGTCTCACCCGGCGGGCCTCGGTGACTCATCCTTCAAGGGGCTCTGGAGGACCAGGATTTTCGGACTGGCCGAGGGAGCGACGGGTGTCACCCTCTTCCCTTCTCAAGATGGCGCCGTTTCGCCTGCCCCTTGTCCTGGCAATCTTGGGGGGAGGGAGGTCTCAGCCAAAACCAGGCCAGATCCAGGGGAGGAGGACCGGAAGGATGGCCGAGGGGCCCTGGCGGGCCCGCTCGTTCCGGCGATACGGAGTTTAGTAGCAGTTACTCAGGTGTTCTCCCGGGAGGAACCGGGGCCTACGGCAGGTGTGAATTTGGGGAGCTCCGCCTACCTTCGTCTTCCAAAGACCGGCAGTGGAGGGAGGAGAAGGTTGGTCAAGATAGGCTGTCTAGAGATTCTTGTCTCGTCTAAGGAAGGTGGTGAACCGCATCTTTAAAGAACTCAAGACAACTAGGCCGCTGAACACGCTCACCATGTAGACACCATTAAACCTTCTCTGCTGTTCTGGAAGCTGGCTACCCCCGGGATTTCGACTTTTTAAGCTCTGATTGTCGTAATTCACATATTTGGTTTTTGTCTTTTGTTGAATGGAGTCAAAGTGTAGAAGAATCGGTTGCATTTCATTTTA